TGCTCATGCCATTGTACAGAACACTGGTGAGACCTCACTTGGAGTATTGTACACAGTACTGGAGACCGTATCTTCAGAAGGATATTGATACCTTAGAGAGGGTTCAGAGAAGGGCTACTAAACTGGTTCATGGATTGCGGGATAAAACTTACCAGGAAAGGTTAAAGGATCTTAACATGTATAGCTTGGAGGAAAGACGAGACAGGGGGGATATGATAGAAACATTTAAATATATAAAGGGAATCAACACAGTAAAGGAGGAGACTATATTTAAAAGAAGAAAAACTACCACAACAAGAGGACATAGTCTTAAATTAGAGGGACAAAGGTTTAAAAATAATATCAGGAAGTATTACTTTACTGAGAGGGTAGTGGATGCATGGAATAGCCTTCCAGCTGAGGTGGTACAGGTTAACACAGTAAAGGTGTTTAAGCATGCGAGGGATAGGCATAAGGCTATCCTAACTATAAGATAAGGCTAGGGACTAATGAAAGTATTTAGAAAATTGGGCAGACTAGATGGGCCGAATGGTTCTTATCTGCCGTCACATTCTATGTTTCTATGATGATGTGGTCAGTTTGTCGTACCTGTATTTCAAGGAAAACCATGTTCTATAATCGCTAGTCTGTCCATTTCCACATATATACAAAACAGAGCCAGGTAATGTAGTACCACAACATAATATATACAATATTTACAATTTCCGTGGTGGGCATCCCACCAGGGTCCCCCACCACACCTGTGTGAGTTGGGAGGGGAGGCATACACCTGTTCGTGCAAAGTTAGGTGGTAGTCCTATTTGACCGACTGCAAGCACGGCTTTCCTGCCCAAAACAGTTCCACAGATTTAGGCTGTGCAGCCGGTCTATCTTCTCCTCTGTCCTGGAGATAATTGGCTTAAGTGGGTGTGGTAACTTAATTATTTCCTAGGTACAGTGAATATCTCCATTTACAACAACAGTAAGCATACATAAAAATAAAAAATTCCTGTTATACTGAACAGAATCCCCACATTCAACCTATCCCCAGATAGCTTGGATCTGAGCGCTCAATATATCAGAACAGCGCTCAGATCCCAGGAACAGAATAAAACCGCCATAGGGTAAAAGTTTAACAAGGGCTGATGAGAGATTGAGGAGGGACAAAGCAGCCAGTTTAAACTGGTCTGGCAGTGTCCCTTGGACAACCCCCTGCTGGAGAAACAATAGACAGGAAAACAGGGGAGGGGAAGTGGCACATTTTCTCATGGAATTAAAGGGGCAGAAAAAGTGTGTCCATTATGCCCAAATAATGTTTTTAAAAGGCCATACACCCCAGGGCCATAGTCATAAGGCAGGAGGCTGGCAATCAGACTCCTCCAAAAGCCAGGGGCAAAGGGCAGTTGGTCCCATAAGAAACCAGTGACAAAAAGCAGTTTGTCACAGTTATGTTGCAGTAATCCACCCATCCCAATGTGGAGGGCGCCAAGACTTGGTGGGGAGATAAGAGTCCCTGTACCAATACCATCATTGTGAAGCCAAGTATATTTCCAATATGTAACATTTATCTGGCACACTAACGTCACAGCACCATACACATAACAGGATGATCTTACTGTATTATAGTGCGGTCTTCGTGGGGAGGCACATCGAGGGCTTGTTATAGATTAGCGATATGGCTATCAGGGCATTTTCTTCTCGGTAAGGGTGATCGTCGGCGCATGTAAGTACAGAGATGCAGGGTCATGATGGTCGGGGTAGGCCTGGCTAGGGAGTGGATCAGGGCTTCTGTGCCAATGTTAGAGGGGGTGAAACAAATTAAACTATGTAGATACATTTCTGAACTGGTCTAGGACCTAGAATGCGGGACCACAATCTGGTGTCTGCCTTCCCCCTTACAGGTGGCAACAGGCCCTCTTGACTCAGCATCGCAGGTCAGAGTCCCAGTAGTCGGGGTAGTCCTCATAGGTGGGCAGAACCAGGGAGGGGAAGAATGGGGATTTTGCATTTCAGGCCAGCCATTAGAGTTTGGGTGGGTGGTATTCTACAGAGGTGCGGTGGGGCCACCCAGCACCTCCCCTCCCCAGTGAGAAACTGGGAAATGGGAGTCCTTTGGAACTATTTCCAACAATGTGAACACATTTGTATACCCTACTTATAGCGATTATCTGGTACAGTCACATCACATCAATATATACATAACAGGTTAAGCACACTGTACCACAGTGCGGTTGTTGTGGGGAGGCACATTGAGGGCCTGTTTTAGCGGTCATGCAAGTAAGGCGATCCACCTCGGTAAGGGTGATCTTCGGCACATGTAAATACCAAGATTAAGGTCTGTATGGTTGGTGTAGGTCTGATAAGGGAGTGGATCAGGGCCTCTGTGCTAACGCTAGAGCGGGTGAAGCCTATTAAACTATGTGCATACATACATGGCTAGCGACCCAGTGGTTAGTATGGGTCTGGAGAGGGGGCAAAAATAATAATAGGGCCCCAGTGCTAGAGGGTTACAAGTGCAATTAATTGAACTATGTACATCAATAGGCTAACTGGTCTAAGACCAACATTGCATGGCAAAAACCTGAAGGTTTGGGCAGCTTAGACTGGAGTCCCATGCTTTCATCCAGGCAGTTCAGGCGGCTGCTTGAGACGGGCCTTTAGGTGCAGTCGGTAGATGTTTCTTATTGTGCTGGCGAGGTGGTAGAGGTAAGTGTCCATTGTTTTGTCCGGCGTTCTGGGGTGCGGTTGTAGCGGAACGCCAATAATAAATCCACGAATTCCGCTGGTTCAGAAACGAATCCACAGTCAAGCGCTGAAACAACAAGGCAATATCCCCAACCTCCCAATAACCGGACGAGACACAGTTTTGGGAGTCAACTGAAATCCTTTTAATCGGCAAGACAATTTATACAAGTCCCCATGCAAGGGGTTTCCTGAGTCCCTCCCCAGGGGCACTCCCAGAGGGGACTACATGGGGGACTTACATGACAACATATTTCTCCCATCAGGCACCGCTGTACGAGAGGGATCATCCTCCCAGAATGCACCGTTAAGGGGATTATCCCCTCGTGCAGCAGAACCGGCAATTCACATAAAAATCCATAACTTGTTAAATACACGGTGGATTTACACGAATGGACGTTCGGTAGATAGCTGGGGTCTGAGCGCATCATTCGTGAGATTACCGCTCAGATCCCAGCTAAAATAACCGAACGCCGCACAGAAAACACATTTCTTTTAAAACATACGAAAAGGACCGATTACTTCTAGTGAACACGATCCTGAAACTCCCGAACGTCCTGGAGGCTCAGCGGTGTTCGTGCCGTCGAATAGCTATTGGTAATACTATGCGTTCGACAACTCGGTCCCGCTGAGGAACAAAGGATCCAAGATGGCCGACCGCCGCATGGTCGGTAGTCGAACGACGGCCACCCAGGAGAGCCTCTAATAACCGATTGCAACAATGTTGCAATCGGTTAACTAGCGCCACACGCCTCTAAGTGTGTGGGCTATTAGGGGGTATCGCGTTCGGTTCACGAACGGCTTTCTAAAGTGCCGTTCGTGAAACGAAAGAAAATCCCCATACAAAACCGCCATTTGCATTCGGCGGAAACAGCAGTACAGGCAATACAGAAAATACATTAGCATATACATAAGTGTAAAGCGCATATCTCGCCAGACCTATTGGCAACCCTTAAAGGCACAGTCTCTAGTTATAGTCCAAGTGGCTAGGTTTGCCACAGCGGTGTTGGCCGTTTCTTTTTGCGGGTAGAGCAGAGAGATGTCGATGTGTTTAGAAAAGTCCCTCATATCCTCAACGTGGTGCAAAAGTGTAGGTTTGGTAAACCTTTTTGACTATGAGTTTAAAGGGATGTCACGACATATATCGCCATCCCAGCTTTGTTAGTGCAGAGGTAAGGAGCTTCAATTCCCGACATTTATTCAATGTGAAGGGCGCCAAGTCTTGAAAGAAGTGTAGTGGTTGGGCGTGATACAGTGGTGGGTTGTCCCAGGCCGCATGCATGAGCTTTTCCTTAACGGGGAAGCACAGTAATTTGACGATAACGTCCCTGGGTAGGGTTGAGTTGAAGGCCGGGGGTCTTAGGGCACCGTGTGCCCGTTCAATTTAAAGTTGTTGGTTGGAGGTGTTAGGCAGGAGAGACCTGGATGGTCGGTAAAAGTACCTCCGGGGTAACGGATTCCGGTAATCCTCTGATCCGGATATTCTGGCTGCGAGACCTGTTGTTAAGGTCCTCAAGGCCGTCTTCTAGTGATAGAATTTTTATCCTTGAGTGTTTCGATATTGTGGTGGTGGGTCACCGTTTTTGCCTGGATATCTGAGATTTGAGTCTCAGTATGGCTGGTGCGGGAGGTTAAGGCCTCAATGTCATCTTTATGGCCAGCTATTTGCTTTTGGATGTACAGGTTTGTTCTTTCTTAATATGTTTTATACCAATAGCTTTTTTAGGTTGGGAGCGCCCCTGAAAATTAGTTTTTGGTTTATCCAGTAAAAAAATGGATAATAGTGGATCTTGTTTTAAAATTGGCCAACATTTATTGAATATTTTTTTAAGTTGCCTATTACTGTAGCTGTAATTACAAACGATTGGTACTTAATTTCCCATCTCATTACTTAATTTTTCTTTTTCTTGTAATAGAGTGTTCCTTTGTGTATTTAATACTTATATATAACTTACTTCTAATTCCGCCTCCTTACATCCGTTTTCTAGTCATTTTTTAATTTGTTAGCTTGTTCTTTAAATTTTTCTTCCTCTATAAATAGTTTTTTTTACAAATCTCCAGTTGTCACTTCGCACCATGGCTAAAGAGTATTCCTAAGTCCCAATTCCTCCAAATCAGAAGAGGAAGAAAAGTTAAAAGAACAAGCTAACAATTTTAAAAATGACAGTTTAAATAAATGTATTTATTTATTTATTTGTATTTCCCATTCTCAACCGACCTGGTAAGTTTAATAACCCTTCATATGTTAAGGAACCTTGCAGAAAAACAGCTTTATATTACATGATTTTCTAATCATTTAAACCTACTTGTTGGTAGTGTCATTGCTTACCTTAGTTGTGAGTCCAGTAGGCAGAGATTTATGCTCACCCTTGCAATTAAACATAGGCCAAGGTGGTCAGGTAAGAATTCACCTAGCCTGTGAGTCTGTGCACAGGGGCTGTGCAGGATATTGCTCCAAGTCGCTGTACAGGTAAAGACGCAAGCAGGAGAATCATCAAGGGTAAGCCAAAATCAAATGATGCCAGAAGTCAGGATACACGGTAAGAAAGCCAAGGTTGTGGGAATGGTTCAAACATTCCAGCTCCTTGTGTAATCCATGGAGCCCTGGATCGAATCTGATCCGTGATTCTTAGAATAGGGCAGAGCAAAGATCTGCGACGTTCTGGCATGATCAGGTGCAAAACTATGTATGTGACGTCCTTGCAATGTACAAGGCTGCTAGTCTCATGATTCAGCACAACAGAAATTAACCACCCTATCAATCCCTCCTTTTATTCTGAAAAGATAACTAGACAGGAATTGTTCTAAAATAATAAAAAAATTTAGGGAGAATTGACATTTTTAAAGAATTTAGTCTACTCAGCCACAAAATTTCCACGCTACACCACCTATCCATATCCTTTTTGATAGCAGGCCATTTTTTTATCTAACTTGTCTACATGCATTTTTGACAGATTCTTGGATAAACCAATGCCCAGGTAAGCAATGTATGAATCACTTCAATTAACTGACACACAGAAGAATTATAGTTTATGTATATTCACATCACAACGAGCCACCCAACAAGAAGAAAGAAGTGCAATATCAATTATAAGAATATTTTTTTTTTTTATTATTTTTCTACAACAAGTAATACAAGTGATCCTGTGTTTGTCTATATGTCATCCTTACAATATTCTAGAACTTAAACTCCATGGGTTGGGTGTGCTTGCGTTCTGTGACAACATACTGGTCTTGTCCAAATTAAATTCTTAAAGGTTTACTCCAACCACCATGACCACTTCTTCTATGTTTAGAAGTGGTCATGTTGGTAGGAGTCTGGATGCACAAGGTTTCTGCATGAAACACTGCACAACCTGAGTTATTTGCAATTGTGTGAAGAGGGCTGGTTACACCCCCGACACATGACTTAGGAAGCCAAAAACTCTGCAGGTTTAATGGTCCAAGCAAATGCTTCTCATAATTGGACCTCCGCGCAGCTCCTGTGACGTGCCGAGCAGCACCTGGAGCTTAACCCAGCCTTGGATTAAGCTTATCTTAAAACTTTTTTTCTAAATTTTTTAGGGAGGGGACATTATTCGAACAAAAAACAAAGCCTTTGTCAAGATTCAAGAATATTGGCCTGGATTTAAGATTTTGGGGTAAGCTTTTCAAATAATTTAATATTTTTGGATAAACTTTTAAAATGGTCACTCTAATATACTTGGGCTTCTTATAGCAAAGATACAAGTCTGAATGTTTGTATCTAACACTTACTGAGAACAATGTACTTACGATACTCTTCAATGTGCAAATATACTTCCCCCACATCATTAAATTACTTTTTTTTTTAAGTTTTAAAAATGACTAAGAATTAAAAGTCAGAATGACCAAATAGAAATGGCCCTACATGCTTGCTACCCTAACCCAAATGGGGATGGGACCCAGACTCCTCACATGGATACGCGCACTATACCACGAACCAAAGGCCGCGGTGAGAGTAAATGGAGCGCTCACAGCACAGTTCGAGATCTCTAATGGTACGCGACAGGGCTGCCCACTTTCACCATTATTATTTGCCCTATCTCTGGAACCCCTATTACAGACGATTAGACAACATCCGGACATTCAGGGTCTATCTGTCAGGAAACTGACAGGGATCCAATACGCAGAGTGCGCACAGAAGGAGGTACGTATACCGGACCTTAGAATGGCCGGACTAACGTAAGGACAAAGCAAGAATAGTCAAAAGGTAAGCCGAGGTCAAGGGAGCCGGAGGACAGGTAAGCGAGATACAATCCGAGTCAAAGGAGAGGAGAGGACAACAGGACAAAAGGCAAGCAAGGGTCAAAACCGGAAACACTAGATAAAGAACGCGCTGAGTGACTAGCAAGCTAGAACCACGACAGGGCAATGAGCAGTAGTAAAGGTTTCCTTTAAATACCCTGTTACCTAAATAGAGACCACGCCCCCAAAAGGTCCGGAATAGCGGTTCCCGGCACTTTATGCAAATGCCGACGTCATGACGTCGACGCTAGCCGTCGCGTCATAAAAGGGGGAGGAGCTAGCGCGGCCGGCGCGAAAACGGCCGAAATATGCCGAAATGCTAGGGGAAGGGAGCCCCTAAGCAGAGAGGATGTCCTCCCTGGATACATCACCAACAGGTACCCTGACAGTACCCCCCCTTCTAGAAACGCCCACCGGGCGGATGGGACCTGGCTTAGAAGGAAAACGAACGTGGAAGGCCCGTAGAAGACGAGGAGCATGCACGTCTATACCAGGAACCCAAGACCTCTCTTCTGGACCATAACCTTTCCAGTCTATGAGGTATTGCAGCTTCCCCCTAGAAATACGAGAATCAAGGATGGACTTGATGATATATTCCTCCTGACCATCCACACGGACCGAGGATGGAGGAGCAGAGCGGGAGGAAAATCTGTTACAAACAAGAGGTTTCAATAAAGACACATGAAAAGAGTTAGGGATGCGTAGAGTAGGAGGTAGATCCAGCAAATAAGAAACCGGGTTGATCCTCCTCAGTACCCTGTAAGGACCAATGTAACGAGGAGCAAACTTCAAGGAAGGAACTTTCAGGCGAATGTGTCTGGTACACAACCAGACCCTATCCCCCGGAGAAAAAATAGGAGCAGGACGTCTACGCCTATCAGCATGTGACTTAAACACCGCGGAACTACGTTCAAGAATTTGTCGAGTCTGATCCCACAACTTTCTCAGGTTGGCTATATGAATATCAACCGACGGTATACCCTGGGAAGGAGACACCGACGGAAGAACAGTAGGGTTAAAGCCATAGTTCAAGAAAAAGGGGCTATTATGAGTGGAACCACAAACAAGGTTGTTGTGAGCAAACTCCGCCCAAGGAATCAGACCGACCCAGTCATCCTGGTGTTCAGAAACAAAACAACGTAGATATTGCTCAATTTTTTGGTTAGTGCGTTCGGCTGCTCCGTTAGATTGAGGATGATAGGCCGAAGAAAAATTCAGTTTGATGCCCAACTGTGAACAGAAGGATCTCCAAAAACGGGAAATAAATTGGGAACCCCTGTCTGACACAATCTCATTGGGAATACCATGTAAACGGAAAATTTCTCTAGCAAATATCACGGCCAGTTCGGGGGAGGACGGAAGTTTAGGCAAGGGAACGAAATGAGCCATTTTAGTAAACCTGTCAAGGACCGTGAGTATAACTGTATGCCTATTGGAAGCTGGTAGATCAACAATAAAATCCATAGCCAAGCAAGCCCAAGGTTTGTTGGGAACGACTAAGGGCTGCAATAAACCACAAGGGAGATCCCGCGGAAGTTTATTCCTGACACAAACATTGCAAGCCTTGACAAAGTCTTCCACATCCCTACGTAAACCGGGCCACCAGAAGTCTTTTGAGATCAGGCAGTAAGTTTTGTGGATGCCGGGGTGACCAGCGATCTTGCTATCGTGGAAACAGCGAATAATGTCCACTTGGAATTTGGGAGACACGAACAAGCGGCCCACAGGAGTACGTTCGGGAGCAAGAGATTGTTCGTTCTGAATATCAGCGAGCAATGGAGAGTGTATTTTGACATTGGTGTTGGCGATAATATTGACTTCAGGAATAATAGGGAACAAAGTATCCTCTGTAGAGGTGGTAGGTTCGTGCTGACGTGACAAAGCGTCTGCCTTAGTGTTCTTAGAACCAGGCCTGTAAGTAAGCACATAATTAAAGTGTGTAAGGAACATAGACCAACGTGCCTGCCTGGCAGATAATCTTTTGGCCTCCCCCATATACGATAAATTTTTGTGGTCAGTCAAGATAGTAACTGGGAGGACGGTGCCCTCTAACAAATGTCTCCATTCCTTTAATGCTATAATGATAGCTAAAAGTTCTCTATCACCAATGTCATATCTCCTTTCAGTGTGTGACAGTTTCTTGGAAAAAAAACCGCAAGGGTGCAGCGGCTTATCTAAACTTTGTCTTTGGGATAACACTGCGCCTATCCCTGTTTCAGACGCATCAACTTCAAGTAAAAAGGGTAGAGAGGTATCAGGATGAACTAATACAGGTGCTGAGGCAAAAGACTGTTTGAGCGTTTCGAAAGCAGATAAAGCCTCAGTAGACCAGGTTTTGGTATCGGCTCCTTGTTTGGTCATATTAGTGATAGGAGCGATAACAGAGGAGTACCCTTTAATAAAACGTCTGTAATAATTAGAAAATCCAAGAAATCTTTGTATGGCTTTGAGTCCCTTAGGTAAAGGCCAATCTAAAATCGATTTTAGTTTGGTCGGGTCCATCATAAACCCGTCTTTGGAAATTACGTAACCTAAGAAAGTTACCTGAGACTGGTCAAAGCTACATTTTTCCAATTTACAATACAATCCATGTTGTAAAAGTTTCTGTAATACCTTTCTGACTTGTCTATGATGTGAATTAATGTCTCTAGAATGGATTAGTATATCATCCAAATATACAATTATACATTCATGTTGGAATTCTCTAAGAACTTCATTGATCAAGTCTTGGAAGACGGCCGGGGCGTTACAAAGCCCAAACGGCATTACGGTATACTCATAATGCCCGTAACGGGTATTAAATGCTGTCATCCATTCATCTCCTTGTTTAATTCGCACTAAGTTATATGCTCCCCTTAAGTCAAGTTTAGTAAAAATACTCGACCCCTTTAGTCTGTCAAAGAGTTCAGTAATCAAAGGAATAGGGTAAGCATTTCTGATAGTAATTTTGTTCAATCCCCGATAGTCTATACAAGGACGTAAGGTACCGTCTTTCTTTTCTACAAAAAAGAAACCCGCCCCCGCCGGAGAGGAAGACTTTCTAATAAATCCCTTGTCTAAATTCTCCTTGATATATTCCTCTAAAACCAAGTTTTCCTTGGTGGATAGAGGGTATACCGTACCCCTGGGAGGCATAGTACCAGGGAAAAGTTTAATAGAACAGTCATAAGACCGGTGGGGAGGTAAAGTATCCGCCTTACCCTTGTCAAATACAGATTTGA